TCCCACCAGTGGAGCTGTGATTGGAGACTTACACCCATTCTCCTGCTACGAGGTTTCTGTGAAGGCGTTTAAGAACGATTTCACTTACGGCAAGATTTGGAGCCGTGAAACCCAAGCTGAACTCGTTTTGAGTCTGGATTCTACACCTAGTCAAGCTCCGCAACTTCGGTCCGCCAGCTGGTTATCTGGACATATGGATACCAAATCAGGCAACAGGGCTTCACAAGTTTCAATTGACCTGACTTTCACGGGAACATCCCAAAACTTCAATTCACACTCATTTGGATCTTCGTCGAACCGCTCGATATTTGGCAGTTCGTACCAGATAAGTTCTCACGGGATTCGGCTCAACTGGGCTCCTTTGGACCTTCACGTTTCCCATGGAGCCCTCCTGGGTTATTCAATACACATAATCGCCAACGAATCGGAATTCAGTCAGTCAAAGAAGGTAACATAAAATTATTTTAGTCTCACTTGAATTGTATTTTCAATTACTACTCACTAATGAATTTTTGTTTGACTGTCTTCGATGCCAAGACCGCAAGACCGTAATTAGTACTGACGGAAAGCTTTGATGGGCATTAAGGCAGAACGTACTAAAATTATATTACTAATGAGTTCTAGTACCTGTGTTCATGTTATCCGTTACTATGTCTTTTTATCGTGGGTTCTCAAACTGAGGTTCCAGCACCACAACTAAAACTGTCTACTTTCGCCAGAAAGGATTCAAAATATAATGGCCGTTTTTTGGTTTAATTTACCGCATCAGCCAACTACAGTATACCGCTCAGATTGGGAAGACGTAGACTTTTAATCTGGACATTCTTCTCCAGCTTAAACGCCTTCTTCGGAGATAGAAAAATCGGCACCCGTTACAAAGGCACGTAAATATAGGACTTTTTTTAAAAACTCATGCAAGTTTTTGATACTAAGCGCTTTGAGCGCAATTCAACAAGCGTTGTGCGTTCAACATTACTCAACCATTGTGCAATGAATCCAAAAATCAAGCCTTTATCGGGTTCGAATACTCAATGAAGTTGTGAAAATTACTCTTATTAGTTCTGTGTGTTGCAGCTTCACGAAGAGTCTTTGAAGAAGAACTCGATAAATTGCTTGCTAGCGCCAGTCCCGCCTAGTCCCCTCTAGCCCCGCGGGGAGGGTAAGCGAAACCGATGACTATTCTACGTGTTCACCTCGAAGACCATATAGT